CTATCTTCGCAATCTTTTATTCTGTTTCGTACACTTTCAATAGAGTTTTTAATCTCCTGGATATCTGTTTGAATCTGTTTTATGGATTCCATTTCTTTCCTCTGTTGGGCATTCATTGTTTCCATGTCTTTCTTATGCTGAGTCTTCATGGCTTCTATCACAGTCTTGAGCTCATCTATTTTTTTCTCAGTTTCTGCTCTAGAGTCTCGAATCATGACTTCTATTTTGCTCATCATCTCTCTGGCTAGCTGGGAAATTATTTCTGATTTGAATTTTTCTAGAGCCTGATTGATCAATTTTGTTACCTCCTGTGCTATGGGTCCAGGGAGTCCTGTTGGTTCACTATCAGACTTTTCATCCTCATTTGTCCTACTATTTGCTATTGGTGAACTGGATATTTGTTTTTGTGTCTTGCTTAAGTGTTTTCTCATTTTTATTTTTATTGTTGGGTTGTCCTTCTTTAATTTCTGGGTATTACTTAAATCTTCCTAATATAGTTGCATTTTAGCTTTTGAGTTTCTAATGACTCATAGACATCCTCATTTTCATAATATCAGAGAAGACAACTCTTTAAATCAATCACAACCCTTTATCCCAATTGATACATTCAGCAGCGCAATAGGATCAGGCACAGCTTGCAAACTGACCACTTGTGGTAGTCATTAATGTATCCCCTTTAACTCATGTAAATTAAATTAATTTCAAGAAGCAGCCCATAATATGTTTGCATTGAATATGCTTTTCAATGTGGCATCTTTAGCATTTAGGATGGGGGGTTAGACTTAGAATGAGAGGATTAGACAAGTGAGAGAATTAGAGCAGGTTTGAAGTGAATCCAGAGGATGTAGAATTACCTTACTATCTTTACAAAGCTATTAACTTCAGGGGGGATAGAGAGAGTGCAGGAATAAGGACAAGAATATATCACCCTTAACAATAACAGGTGCTTGCCTTCCCTTGAAGGTACAGAGACATGAGTGAAGTAAAATGAGTGGAGAAAAGAACATAAAGAGAAACCCCTCCTAAAAATAAAAAATAATAAAAGAAAAAAGAAAGAAATTTTAGGGTGGAATGAGGAAAAGAAAAAAAAGAAAAAAAAGAATTTGAAGGGCCTTTTTCAGACTGTCTCTATTCTCATATTATACCACATGTACAGCCATATGCAGAACCGAATCCCCTGGTCTCAGCTAGCCAATGGCAGTTCCCCATGACTGAGACTGAGCACAGCCCACAAAGCCTAACTTGAGTTTCCCTACCCTCGGGGTTGAACTCCACTGAGTTCTATTACAGGTTTCCCCTGCCCTTTCTTTAAAGATGTTCAAAGTTGGGAGCTCAGAAAACTACCCTTCATGAGAACCTATGCCTCTGCAGAGTTGGTCTAAGGACTGGCCCAATCAGGAGGTTTGAGAATGGGGGGGGTGTTGTGGGGGTGTTTCAAGGGCACCCGCGTGGCTACCTTCCTTACTGGGTCTGTTGTCGTGCAGTCCGGGAGGTCGTGCACCTGCCGGGTGATCTCAGGCAGGCAGGCAGCTGAGGAGACCCCCTCTGGGGTCTTTGGGTCCTTGCTGGGTCTGTTGTCGCGCAGTCCGGGAGGTTGCGCACCCGCCGGGTGATCTCAGGCAGACACGCAGCTGAAGAGACCCCCTCCAGGGTCTTTGGGTCCTTGCTGGGTCTGTTCGGGGATAGGACTTTTAAAGTGGTAATTGAGTTAAAGAGGCTGTGAGCAAGGCTTTAGTCCAGTATGACTGATGAACAAGAGACACTAGGAGTTCAAAGGCATGGGGGAAAGACCATGTGAAAGTGCAGGAAGATGGCACTATTTGCAAGCCAAGGAGGGAGGCCTCAGAGGAAACTAACCCTGCCATCATCTTGATCTTGAACTTCCAGCCTTCAGAATTGTGAGGCAACAAATTTCCCTTGTTTAAGCCACCCAGTGTGTGGTATTTTATTTTGGCAGCCCTAACACAATAATGTATGACTATATAGAATTGTTGCAAAGATCCAAATAGATAAAGCATTAAAATTGCACAATGAAGTTCCTGGCTCCCAAGCATTTTATTTCTTTTCCTACTTGTGACTATGCAGCCACTTACTTTTAGTAATCACTCATTTGTAAGTTCCAATGATTATAAAGGGGTTAAGTCCCTGTTAGAACTAAGTAGTTTCTTTGAAGTCTCAGGTTTTGGATTTCTTGCTTCCACCTCCAATCTATCCAAGTGCCTCATATGTAAGAGGTACATGAAAGAACACTTGTAGATTCAGTAGTCTTTCAATAAATATCTAGGCACTAGAGCAATGAACAGAGTGGACACAGTCTCTGCCCTCAGGGAGTTTAAAGTTTAGCAGGAAAGGATGAGATGCTGGTTGTGTAATATCATTGCTTTCAGTATTTTCCTTTGCATTTGACCAAGAAACAAGTGAGGTAAGAATGGAGGTTCTACCATGTTTCCCTGAAAATGAGACCTAACCTGAAAAACATGTCAACCCCAATCAGTCTGTCCTTGTTTTTCCTGCTATTACAGAGTAGACATGGAGCAAGAGAATAGTGAGGTATAATCTTCTGCCTGACACTGGCCAGCACCATGTTAACAATCATCTAGGGCTATTTCCAGTAAGGAAAACTTCAGGGAAACATGGTAGTTTGACTCCTTCACACTTTCAGATTAAAAGAAGGTTTCACTTGGCACACACTGTCTGCCATAGTCTTCCCATGTAACCTACTCAGTGTTCATAACAGCCCAAATTGAGACTTGGTTATTATTATTGCAGTTTGATAGATCAGAAGTAATTTCCTCAGGCTCACACAATGCACAGTGGCTAAAGCTGGGATTCTAGCTCAGATCATTCAGTGCCAGAGCCCAAACGTTCTGAATGTTCTGCTGTGACCCTGAGCAAAGATAGAATCCTCTCAGGCTTGTGGCCTTTCTAGTCTCATAACTGGTCATCCAGCCACTGTGACCTGGGAGTGAACTCAGAGTCCCCTCTACACTGTAGAAGGTGGTTAGGTCATGAGAGTAGAGTCCTCGTGAATGGGATTAGTGCCTTTTGAAAAGGCAGATAACTAACTTGCCCTTCTTCTACTATGTAAGAATACAATGAGAAGATAGCAGTTTGTAACCTGGAGAGGACCCTCAACCACACCTGACCTTGTAGGCACCCTGATCTCAGATTCCTAGACTCCAGAATAATGAAAAATAAGTCTCTGTGATTTACAAGCTACCTAGACTATGACATTCACTACAGTAGCCCAAGAAAAGACAGACCCTAGCTAAGAAGGGCACCCACAAAAGGCATTGTCTCAAGACTCTTTTTGTATCTTGCCATAGCTTCCCCTTAGTCAATTTAAATAATTGAACCTGTTTTTTCCATGTGTACTGTGGGTTAGTGAGAGGCCAAGCATAGTGTTAAGTGTCTTATACATGTAGGAGCTCTGTCTGGGACTCGGAGAGAGAGCTTAGACCTCAAAGTAGATTCCAGACCAATCAAATGCCCCCGAAGAATAGCATAGAAGTAGGAAGAGGGCCCTGGAGACCTGTCTTGCAGAGGAAGAGAAAGAGAGCTGAAGAGAATGTGAGTTTTGTAGAGAGAGCTATTCTGGTGCTGTGATCCCTGTGCCCTGGAAGAAGGAAGGGAAGCTTCCTGCCTCTCACCTCCAAGGGAGCAGGTGCAATGGGTGCCCTGGAGAGCTTGGCATGCACTCCTAGTTGCCTGAGGACAATAAGATGAGTGTCTGACTCTAGCCTACAAAATTAATAATGTGAACAGTGGGCTTGTTGGGGCCCTGTGTCAAAGCAAACGAAAGTAGCTACTGCTTTGTGATTCCAGGAGCCATTAAGGCCCAAGTGATCCCAGAGGGCCAGCAGGAGCTTCCTGAGTGGACTGGTAGGGCTCATTCCAGGATGATTCAAGAAGACGGACCACAGAGGCAGATAAACTGCAACCCAGAGCAGCTGGGCTCTATCCAGGAAGGAGCAGATCAGTGCCACATCAGGAATCATTCACCCTCACTGGCAAATCCACAGGGAGGATTCCCAAGAGATAAGGCCCAGGAAGAATCCACCAGAGTTCTCCTAGGCCCAAAGAGACTGTGGCCTTTTTCAGACAGTATCTACATCAGTTATGATCCCCCACCCTGCTCCGCCCCTTTACCTTTCCTCCTGCCTCCTCCACTCTTGAGGAGTGAGGAACAGAAACCTCAGGTGGAGACAGGAGTAGAAGGAGGAGAAAAATGAAGTGGGAAAGAGAAAAATCAGCCACATGGCTTCCCAGTAGTAGGTCTCCCATCTGAAGCAGCCCACATGCCATCACTCACTCATTGCTTGTCTACAAAACTGGAATTTGGGGGCGATCCTTTGTGAAACAAAATGTTTTTCATTAAACACAAATAACTCACCTTGGAAGAAACATCTTCCCTTTAAAGACAGACCTTCTATGGTGCATTTTAAATTGTTAGGATAATTAAGGTTTTGTGTATCTCTATCTTATCACCCCACTTGAAGAATGACATTTTGGCAGCAGGTACAGTGCCTTATTCTCCTTTGGTCCCCTCCATGGGACTTGGTCACCAGAGACAAAGACTGGATGACTAACACAGGGACACGCCAACTGTACAAAGTGAGGTGCAGCCATAAGCAAGACCAACCCACTGTACTTTCAGATTGCTCCAGCTGAACAAATAGACAAATCATCCCAGGCTTTTCTCTCCCTGCATTTTCCAGCAGTAGGTGGTACAAATAAAAATACCACCTGGCCTTTGTATAGCACTTTACAGTTTCAAAGCAACTCTCATAACCCAAGGCCGCTCTTCACCCAGCACATTCATCCCCAGACTATTCACATCCCGATTCCACCCACACTCTTGCTTTTCCTGGTGGCCAGCCCTGTGCCAACCTCTGCAGGGTAAGGCCATGTGTTTCCCCTTGGCTCCACATGTCCTGAGCAGAGTTTCCTCATAGAGTCAGCTGGCCAGAAATGTGGGCAGAGAACGAAGGGCAGCTTGTTCAGATTCTGTTTATTATGTTCTCACAGCCTTGTTTATAGTAAAGGTGAATGACATTATTCCACTTTACATGATGAAACAACTCAGGGAGGACTCCGTCAGCCAAGCGGTTTATATGGCAGATGAGCTGCTACAAATCTGTTGTGCTGGCGAGTGACTCAGTTAATGCTACCGTGGTTGGAGCGGCACTCAGTGCCAGCCACCTTTGCCATGCCTGGCAGAAGGGAGGGAGCAGAAGGACAGAGAAGGAGGAAAAAAATCAAGAAAGGAACAGTTTATTGGGGAGACTTGGATCCCAATCCCAGGAAGGCCAGTGATCACAGCCTGAGGTCTCCCATCCCGGCCACCAGCATCTCATGGAGTCCCAAGACAACACAGTGACAGGAAGAGACATCATTGTTTATGGCTTCTCCCTGTACAGTCTCATGCTCAGTGGCATGGTGGCACACACTCTCAGTGACACCTTGTGTGTTCACTTGGAAAGATACAGACTTAAGAGGGCTAACACTTGGCAGATTGAAGGTAAGACTGAGAAGCCACAGCTCCTCTGCCTGACTTGGATGTGGGCACATAGGTAGAGTTTTGAGCCCTCTTGGTGGTAGGAGACCATCCTGTCTCTGAATGTGCCCCTCCTCACCTTTCCCTCTGGGACAGAGGAGCAGACATTATGATGACAGCTTGTCTTTCCTGCCCAGATCCTTTGTCATCAGCCTTCCACATTCCCACCCTCCCCCAGCTCTCAGCACAACAGGCTCATCTTTCCTCATAGCAGAGCCAGCTTCTCCACTGACCAGGGCCTGGGGTATTGGGACACCCCAGCCTAGCCAAGGAGAAGTGCCTGGGGCCCATGAAGAAGTACTCTTCACAGCTTTCAGAGCAGCAAGATCTGGTGAGAGCACCATTGAGTAAAACCAATTGGCAACTTTCCGGGTGCCTATCCAACCTAGGACCAAAAAGGAAATGAGAAGAACTTGGAGCCAGGACCAAACCCCATGATGGCTTTGGGAAAGCCTCCCAGATCTTGATATTCCCCAGAATGCACCACCCTCTGCTGAGAAATGTGGAAACTGCTGTGTTACTATTTTCACTACCATAACATGCTTCACTCACTACCTGAGTTCCAACTCCCTTGTTACATGGCCTTAGGTACAGAGGCGCATCCTGACACAAAAAGACCAAAAACAAAAGTACATGAAAACAGACAGAGGATATCTGACCCATCAGGCAAGCCTGAGGGAAGCAATGTGCATGAAACTCAGCATGGCAAAGCTTCTCTTCCCCAAGTGTCCCTGCCACTCACTCTTGGTCTGCCTGCTGCTAGACAATACATGTGGCCTGGACCCAACCCCTCCATCTCAAAGAAGTAAGTAAGACTGAGAGGGTGGAGAGGCCACTCCCTCAAGAGTTCAGCTCCAGAGCTAGCAAATTTCCTGGTTGTTGTGCTTATTGCATCTCACCTTGCAGCTATGTTTTGTCCTTAGCCTGCTTCTCCTCAGTCCTTAGGCTGATGTTTCCTCTCCTTATTTGTACACTGGCATCCCTGGCAGAGCTTGAAATCTTTCTGCCACCCAGATCCCTCCAAAGTGCTCTGATTCAGCTGATCTGAGGTAGGACCTGGACAATTTGGTTTGTAGGTGAGTCAAATGCATAGCCAAGGTTGAGAGCCATTGTCTTAAACCATCTTTGTTCCAAGTCCATACTCCACTACATACACCAGGAGCTTATGAAAAATACAGATTCCTGGGCCCCACCCCAGATCTATTGGCTCAGCATGTCTAGGTATGGACCCTGGGTAATATTTTTCAGTATTTGTAACAGGCTTTTGGGGTGACCCCAGTGTACACACAAGTTTAATAAAATGCTGCCCCGGAGCATCCTTCTCTACCCCAGAAGTGACCTGGGCTGTGAATATTTGTCGATAATTGTTCTACACAGTCCAGCAAAGGCAACAGCAAATCTCACACTATCCTCCAGACTCCACTCCAGTGGAACTAAAAAGCCACTCAGATATGGAGAGAGGAACTCAAATCCACAGCTCTATCAGCCCACTGCCTGGGCTTGCCTTGAGCCCAGAGCAGGCCAAGCATGAGGAGCAAAGGAAGATGGTTCTTGGAAGCAGCTCCAGTGAGGTGGATGAGGCTTGTGAGGGGAAAAAGAGGGGATAGGAGGCAGGAACCAGAGACATGGAAGGTCAGGGATGAGGTATGTTTGGATATTGCTCTAGATGTTGTAAACATTTCTCTTTGTTTCATCACAGACCAGAATCTAGGTTGGCATGACCAAAGTGCCTAAAAGTAGGCATCAGAGCAGGGAACTCTGAGCCTTCTGTGGGAAGCAGGGTATACAGCATGAGAGAAAAGCCACCCCCATAGGAAGATCATGTCTGAAGTGCACTAGTCCAGTGCTCACAATTGTCACACGCACAGACGCACACAGATGCTCCACAGGAGTAGCATAAATGAGCTACCATGTTCCTCTATACACAGACTCATGTCCACATGCCCTTGTCTAGCTACAAAATTCAGAATACTGAAGTGTGGTCCTTCATACCTCCCACTTGGGAGGGAGTCACCAAGACGCAGTGACACCACCTTCATTCCACCAAGAGTCAAAGGGAACTCTAGGCCCCAAATGAAATCCAATCTTCTTCCTTGGAGTAGTGGAAGCGATGAAAAGGCCCTTCCCAGAACATAACTCTGTAGTTCCAATTTGCATGCACCTCACTTTCAACAATAGAGTTGGCAGCAGATGCACATTTTATGTGTAAACAATGTTTAAAATACCCTGTTAGATAATTTAATCATTAAATTAATTCTGGCAGCTTTAGCTAAAAATGTGTTGCTTTTTTTCCCCTGGGGTGGGAAGATAACATCTGCCCTAACTAGGAATATTATTTGAGGTGTCAGAGTTCTTAAGCATGAACTTCCACAGGTTTGTTCAGTGTTGAGCCAGGAAGCAGGTATTTTTCTCTTTCCAGAAGTTCACACAGACATGCCAACCCTCACTCACAGATGGCAATGGTCGATGCAGGACAGTAGGCACTAACACTAGTAGGATTCAAGGGCCTTCTTGGCCTTGCCCGGCTACAGCCAAGGAAGAATGTGATTCTCAAAGTCACGGGGCAGGAGTATAAATGCAGGAACATGGGCAAAATCTAAAGTTGCCCAGCACCCCACCAGTGCCCACAATCCAAGGCCTTCACCTAATCTTGTGCTGCCCTCATTCTGTCAGGCTGAAAGGTTTGTAGATAATAAATCTAAATCCGTTGGGCAGAAATTCCCAGTAATAGCTCCATCACATTCTTTGTTATCCATGTCCCAGGAGACCAACACCTTCCAGGATCCTCTTCCACTTCTGACCCTCTGCTGAGGATTCATTCCCTCGGCACTGCTCTTGTGGCAAAGTCAGTTTTTTTCCTGCTCAGCTGGAGGAGGTTCTGTGCTGTTCACCATTCATCTTTCAAGAAAGTTTCCCGATATTTCCAACAGTGGCCACAGGATACAATGAAAGTATTTAGGAGGATTCCATAGCTCAATGTTCACAGAGATCTTCTTATCACCACCTGCATATTTTATGTTCAATCCCAAAGGCCAATAATTGAGAAGGACACTGATTCTCAATAGCTAAGAGGGACCTTTCTAAGAAAGCAAGCTCCCAGGAAGCAAGCTGTAAAGAGCATCAAGCTGGCTCCCTGTTCTCCCCCATCATAATTACATGGCCTGCATGGAATGGGGGAGATGGGTAGACAGGGAAAGTATAGGCACTGGGAGAGCTGTCATGCTATGGGAATTTACCTCCCTTGGCCGAGCTGTCTGACTTCCTAAGAGATATGTGATATCACAGGGAGGCAAGGGAAGAGAATACATTAAGCAACAGACAGGTTAAATGGAGCCCCATTACACAAACGTCTACTGGTGCTACATTCCCTGGTCATTTGAAAAACTTCTAAAAAAAGTTCTTGGTAGCATTGAGGAATGTTTGCAAGCTGTATCTTTCTTAATGACAGTTCCACTCAAAAGTCATGAAAGAAATCTCACAAGACTCTTTCTGGAAATGCAAGGGTAAAAAAGTCCTATAAATTTCCTAGGCTAAGATGGGCAATGGTTGCAGATTCTCATGCTTATCAGTGGAAACAAAAGAAATAATAAAAGAAACAGCTGACTCTGTGGAGTTTGATCTGCCCCAGAAGACACCAGCCAATGACGCTAGAAACTTGGGGCTCTATATGACAATACCAGAAGGCTGGGATTCCACAGAGACGTTTCTCCTAAACTTTGGGGTCCTGGTATCTGGGGCTGGTCTCTATTTTGTGACAGCGAATAACAAGTGAGAGCAGGAATCTTCCAACTGCTTCTCCCAGGGGTAAAGAGAAGACTCAAGAAACCCACCTGGGGTGGGGGTTGGAAACTGCATTTGCATTATTTACAGATTAGCCTAGCACAGCAAATCTGCCTTCTCAGTGATGACCCGAGACATTATGATGGTCAAGTTGTTGACCCAGAGAAGGGCAACAGCAGCAAGGTGCTACCACTAACTTAAACACAAATATGGCTAAATGACAGACAGTCCAAGCTCTGGCAGCTGGGTTACTCTTTGGAATGGCCTTTCATTCTCTCCTTGCCCCTGCCTCCTACCCCAAATGCCACCACCTTTAAACACCTATGCAATTTCACATTAGTATATGGTCTTGGCAGCAAGGGGAGGGGAAAGCCGATGATTTCCAAGAGTCCCCATCTGAGGTTTAACTGAGCCTCCTCTGGCTTTGGGACAGCAAATCTAAGTACATTTTGGACCTCAGGAACCTGGGGTAAGAGTCTTTCTCCATGAGGCTGTGTACTTTTCCCTGGGCTTGGTCAAAGCAAGTCAGGGATGGTTCCTGCATATTCTTTCTTGTAGCTTCTCGGGTCTGGAAATCGATGTTTACCTGGAGACACAAACAGAGAACAGGGTTATAGACCCTTGAAAACCAAAGCACCCAGCATCAGGCCCTAGCGATATAATAATCACTAACGGCAAAATCTTTTTATCTTTAAGGTGATGTGAGCATTTCAAAGTACTTTCATGAAGCTCTTCTCTTGAGATCACAGCAAGAATCTTGTGAGGACTGACTTAGTTTCAATTTATAAATAAGGACACTGAAGAAAGCTTTAATGTGTGCCTAAAGTAGTATGGGAAGTCAGTATGGGAGAAGTTAGCAAAACCAAGGCAAAAATTCTCAAATCAATTGATTCCTAATCCAAGGACCTTCACATCAGACAAAGTGTTAAATTCAAGTCAAGTGTTAATGAAAGTTTCCTAACATAAACCTCCATCATCCTTTCATAACTACTAAACAGATGCTCACCAGGGATTTAGCTCAGTGGTTCTGCTGCCTGTCTTTCAAGTGCAAGGTCCCCACCTCCCCCAAAAAAAGAAAGAAAAAAAGAAACAGATGCTCTATACAATCTATAGAGAGAGACCTTGGTTAGAATGTAATTTGTATTCAAACCAGCATTATAAGAGGCTTCTAACATCCTATTCCCCTGGCAAGGAGTTCATGCATGCCACATCAAAGTATAATTGAAGATTTGTAGGTATACAGTACCTCTGAACTCATAGACAGCAAATATTTTTCTTCAATTAAATCCTCCCAACTTAAATTCTGTACTATAACTCACAATAACACTACATAGAAATTCATCATATTACTATAAATATTTAAAATAAAATAGTATAAATAACTACAAACACTAATTAATGAGCAATGGCAAATCCTGAATAGGTAACATATCTCTAATCCCCAGAGTAGTCTTCAAAGGTAGGTGACACTATTCCCTTTCACACTGGGGCAAATGATATTTAGAAAGGTTGAGTAATGATCATGATCACACAGCCAATTAATAAGGAGCTGAGATTGGAACAAAATCTCAAAGAAGATACTTATTCCATTAAACCATGCTAGCTTTTCCTAGGAAAATAAACATGGACTCAGGGGTATCTACTCTTACAAAACCCCTGTAGCAACACAGTTTCTGCCAGCTTGTGTTTGACAGTGAAGATACTCCTAATACAGCTCCTTTGGTTGACGTTCTGAGCTTCCAGCCCTTAAAGATAATTCCTTTGGGGCTGAGGATGTACTGAGTGGTAGAGCATTTACCTAACATACACAGGCTCTGAATTTGGTCATCAACACCACAAAATAATAATAATAATGATCCATTAAGAGTCACCAGAGTGGTACAGCTTAGCTCAGTAGAAGAAAGTCTCCACCAAGCCCAGCCCACACTCCTCTAAAGAAGGAGATGAGAGCCAACAGCCACAGATCAAGATCTCCCAAGATGGTAGCAGTGGCCAACACACCTCCCTTGGAGCCTGCACATCCACAAACTCCTCAAAGATCCTGTGAGCCTTGGAGACCAGCTTTGCTGTTGACCTGGTCTTTTTGAACTCTTCACAGGCCAGCCAAAACTCCAGGTTCTCCTCACTGAATTCCGTCTTCAGGAAGGCACGGAAGGCTGCCACTCCATCTATGGATGTGGAGGGAAAAGAATAATGGTAAGAAAAAGCTAAAGTTCAAAGGCCACAGAAGAAAAAGATGGTAATATAATGTGAGGGTCTTCAACTGTCCAGGCCTGCTGCTTCTCCACATCCCCTTGAAAACTCTACTCCCTTAGGCCTAAACACCCTTAGAGTAAGCTATGCCTCTTATTCAAGGATCAGAGTATTACTACAGAAGAAGTATTTTAAAGCCATAGTCAAAACAAATATGGGTGGGGCTTGTCACTTCTATCAGCCCTCAGGGCTTATCACCTGTCTCCTCATGAAGAGACAGCTGTCCCTAGGGGCTCCTGCTGAGCCTGTGTTGCTAATTTGGCCATGGTAATGAATGTAATCCATTCAGTACCCCAATGCAAGCCAATACTGTAAGAAAGCACACAAACCAGAACAAGCTATACAAACTAGAGGGAAATGTGAATATCTCAAGACCAGTCCTTTACTGCTTCCTGAAAGTAAATCTCCCTACAGAAGGTCAGTCCATAATACCATTCTGTCACATGGACAGCATTCCCAGGCTCTTTTACAAAAGCCTTAAAGCCCTGTGTTTTGAGATTTTATTCTGTGAAGTCTTTAATATTTTTGGCTATTGAATTATATGTTTTAATTGAAATTGACTATAATTTTTCTACCAAATAATTTAACAGTTAATACACCCTCCCATCCTTATGAATCAATGTCATACGCATCATCAAGCAGAGCTTCAATCAGCACAAGATGATCAGGGTTATCACATCAAGTCAGCAGGGGAAATAACATTTATTTATAGCTTGCATTTCCAGTTAATGTTCTTATTTTAAACAAATTTGTATAAGGTATTTTAATACTTAAAGTGCTCTCCCTTAATCAAATAACTACTATACCTCTATAGACTTCTACAAACTGTCCTCAGAAGAAGGGCAGATAAATACTAAAACAAAAAGTGCTGCGCTGGTGAAAAATTACTCTAGTGATGATTTTAATTTCTTTTCTAAAAGTCACAAGGAGGACAAAATGCTAACAATTCTTAAATCTAGATGATGGTGGAATTTGAACTGACGTCTACTAATACATACCAGGACAGCACGCTGGCCAGGGTCATTCAGTAACTTTCTGGTGCCATACTGTTTTGAGGTGTTTTATTTTACTATTTTGAAACATTTTTATTTCTACTAGTGAAAAGTTATCTTTGTTTTTCAAAATATATATTTTAATGTCCACGCTACAACAATAATCGTAAAAGCCAATACTTTTCAATGCAAGAGCCAGGGGTTCTCTGGGGCTCCCAAAGCCAAGCTTTAAAGCACAAGACAATTTAATTTTGAAGAGATGAGCTTAAAGTATATTAAGAAAAGTAGACTGACTGTGTAGTTTACCATCAAACCAGGACATTTCTGAGCATGAAGGGTGCACCACTGCTAATTACACAGGGATGATTAGCATAAGCCATGACTGCCACAGGCAATACCCAGGACACACAGTCTTCCAACTCTAAGCCATTGTGTGTGGAAAAGCATAATATGTTAGGCCATTTTCCATCAGAAATGATGGAAATAAAATTATTCCTGTGGCAAGAGGAAAGTAACATCATTTCAAATCACATGAGACGTCTACTTAGGGTATCATCCCTATTCCTACATTACGGTCAAAGTTCTAGGAGAAGAGAGTATGAATTCACAAAAAACTTGGGAATCAAAGTGAGCATAAAATAAGGATATGGCAATGTTAAGACAGAAATGGTCTGAGAATCATTTATTCATTTCAACTATGATTTTTAAATTACTAATCTACAAAGTATTGCTTTTTTTTTAAAGACTTGGGATATATAACAGAAGAAATCATACCATTGCTGCCCAGTAAGTCCCTCATGGATGCCCAATTTGGCAGCCCTCCTATACCCTATGGCCTCAGTTCCCCATGTAGGAGATCCAGAAATTCCTATGTGCTCCAGAATTAAACTTGGATTTAAGAGCAAGCACACCTGTTAGGAGATGGCTGCTGCTTGCAGAAAGAGCTCCTGCAGCAGAAGTTTCAGGCAAAGGGAGGATGGAAACATAGTGGGGCTGGAAACACCTTCAAAAAGGCTCAGTGCCCTTGGGAACCAAAGAGGGGCTGGTTCTACAAGAGAGGACTCAGCAGTATCCAGCAGTCGGCCCAAGGTAGACCTGAGGCCCACAGGCCAGAAGTCTCCCCAAACACCTCCATCTCTTTTATTCAAGAGACTTTTTAAAGTAAACTTACCTTCAAGTGATACACAAAAATTATACATATTAAAGGGGTAACAGTGATATTTGATGAATTTATACATTGTACAGTTTAAATTGCATATAAATTTCTTAAACGTTCATCATATCTTGTGATAAAACCTTTCAGAATCCTTCCCTCCAGCTTTTTAAAATGTACAATAGGACTAGGGATTTAGCTCAGCGGTTCTGCCACCTGCCTCGCAAGTGCAAGGACCCAGGTATGTATTAATTAATTAATTAATTTTAAAAATGTAGCCAGGCATCGTGGTGCACTCCTGTAATCCCAGCACTCAGGAGGCTGAGGCAGGAGGATCGCTGTGAGTTTGAGACCAACCTGGGCTACATAGTGAGTTCCAGGTCAGTCTCAACTACATAGTGAGACCCTGCCTCAAAAACACAAAAATAAATAAATAAAATGTACAATATATTATTGTTATGCATAGTCAACCTCCCTGCAATAGCTCACCAAACTTCTTCTTGCTGCTGCCTAACTGCATCACCTTTTGGTCAACATTTTCAGATCCCTCCCTTCCCACATTCACATTCATTCTCTCGCTCTCCCTCCCCCTTCCTCCCCCTCTTCCTCTCTTCCTCTCTCTTTCCCCTCAACTTCTGGTAACCACCATCTTATTCACAACTTCTATGCATAGATCAGCTTTTTTTCACATTCCACACATGAGTGAAATTAGGCATTGCTTGCTCTGTCTTTACACACTTTCCGCTGTAGTCAATGAGTGGGAAGCAAAGAGGTCCAAATCTGTGCGTTTTCCAAAGAAGGAAAGAGGAAGTGACTCAGACTCACAAGAGATTGTTGTTTTTTAACTAGAAGAGACTAAATTCCTTGAATGAGAGAGTTGAAGTTTGCCATTTGCATCAGATTTTGCTTTGTTTTTCACTAAACAAAAACAGGTGCTCCTGACCAAGTTGAATATAGTTATAGACACAGAAAGACAATTACATTTCTGCCTTCCTCTGTGGTACTGCTAAGGAAATTTTGTCTAGCTTCAGGCTAGACAAGGTATAT